CCCCGTCTCTTTGTGCCTTCGCAGCGCAGCCAGGAAAGCAGCGCCGAATTGCGGGGTTTCCTTTTTCCCCCCCTTTCTTTTTCTTTTTTTTTTTCTTTATTTTTCTTTTAACGCTCCCTCACGCCTCGTTTTTCTGGCCTCCTAATTCCTGGGTCCCCCCCGCAAGGGCGCTGCGTGAAAGCGGGATGAGTAGTTCCAGGTGCAGGGAAACGCTGAGGACACCTTGCTGGCTTTTTAAATTTATTTTTTTCCTCCCCCTTCTTTTCGTCTCCCCTCTTTTTCAAGCTCTGCTGGAGGCTGACATGCCCATGGAGAGAAAAAAAAATAGAAGAGAAAAATACTAAAGGCACTTTCAACAAGCTTGAAAATTCAAATGAAAACCAGATTTCTATTGTGTGGCAGCTAAGCGGGCAACTATTGTACCTACTGCATGCAGTAGAAAAAGACATACTGAAGACACATCCTTTTGTTGTCAGTAAAAAGGAACTTTGTGCGAGAAATATGTACATGCGTGGCCCAAGTCTAGCAGAGCACTTCAGATTAGTGTCTCCCTAATCACAGGGGTGGATAACAAGTAATTTCGAACAAATGAGGAATATGTTTCCACCTTTAAACTACCACTATTAACTTAACCCATTTTTTTTTGTTTGAAAAATCCTCAAAAGGTAGTAAAAAATGGAAAGTTTAGATGTGGTGAAGAAAGGAGCATCCTTTGTGAGACTGAAGGTGAAAAAGAATCTCACATCTCTTTATAAGATAAAAATAAGAGGGAGGTAAAATAAGATTATAAAAATTAACATTGCTAAGGTAACTAAAGTAAAAAAGGAGGCAAAAGAAAACCAGTCAAACTCTTCCAAATGCTATAAAGCAACCGGGGAAAAAAAAACAAAATATGGGAAGAGAGTGACATAAACATTTGAAAATAGTATAAACATGCAAAGTGACACCAACAACCTAAAATAATCAAGGAACAGAGGAGGTGTTGCAAAAACGCAGATGGGTTGTTTGCAACATCTTCACTGTTCACAGCAGAAAAAAATCATGTTAAGGAGGGGAAAAAAATAAAAACAAACAAAAAACCAAATTAGCCGAAGCCAAGTGTTTGCTCTTACTGCTGTCTGTTAAGGGATTCCAATGAGTACACACAGCCACAAGTTCCCAGGACCCTGGTGTTTCTTTTCCCTGGTGTGCTGTGGCTCATGCCAAGACTGTAGTGGTCAAATGTCCAACACTCCCACCATCCTAAAACAGCACAGAAAACACAAAGCTGCACATTGAAGACTTAATGTGGACAGTCCTGCTGTTACCACTTCGATTTCTAAAAAACAAGACCATGTAAAAGATTCATTGCAGCCATGCTCTGTTCCTCCAAAACCTGCACAGGCTGACCCATGGCAATGTCATAGAAAGCACTGCCCACTGTTTGGGATACAGAAGTTCTCCTGCACACAGGTGCTCTCCCAAAGAGATTTGTTATGTTTTCACAAAGGACCCTCTTCTTCCATTGCTACTGTGACAATCCCCATGATCGTTGCAGCTCGAAAACATCCAGCCAAACTCTTCAATCTGCCACACTCAGAGCAAGCTGTCTCTCTCTTTAGATTCAGAAAGTTGGGAGCGCTGCCGGCAGAGCTTAGTGCTGTGCAAGTGATGGTGTGGATACACAAGCCCCTTTTCCCACAAATCTGAAATCTCTCATAGAGCCCTGAGGCCATTGAGATAATTTTATATCAAGCCAATACGTTGGGTAGGTCTGGATATAATAAAATCAGTGAAGAATGCACGTCTGTCATTACTGCAGACATCACTAAGGCATTAACAGAAAAGTGGCCTGAAGAAAAAGATTTGACAGAACAGGGAAAGGGAGACTATTCAGTACAATAAAGATCAATAAAAGACTCAAGGCTATTATTTACATGTTCATTTTCTTCTCTTTGCCATGGAGTGGATTTTGCTGAAACTGCTGTCCCATGCAAAGGGCAGGAGGACCCAAGAAATACCTGAGGAACAAACCTGTGTCTCACACATGAGCACGGTCTCCACAGGTTTGTTGGTGACACCAAGCTGTGTGGTGAGGTTGACAGCTTGGAGGGAAGGGACATCATCTAGAGGGACCTTGACAGGTGTGAGAGGTGGGTCTGGGCCAACCTCTTGGAGTTCAACAAGGCCAAGTGCAAGCTGCTGCACCTAGGCTGGGGCATCCCAAGCAAAAATACAGGCTGGGTGGAGAATGTACTGAGAGCAGCAGTGGAGAGAAGGACATGAGGTGTTGGTTGACAAGAAACTCAACATGATTCAGAAATGTGTGCTTGCAGCCCAGAAAGCCAACCACATCCTGGGCTGCATCAAGAGAAGCACAAGCAGCAGGTAAGGGAGGTGACTCTCCCACTCTGATCCATTCTGGAGCGGCGTATCAGATGAAGTTCTTTACTGTGGAGCTGGTGAGGCACTGGCACAGGTTGCCCAGAGAAGTTATGGATCCCCATCCCTGGCAGTGTTCAAGGCCAGGCTGGATGGGGCTTTGTGCACCCTACTATAATGGAAGCCATTGATGCCCATGGTTAGAGGATATTTCAGGTCCCTTCCAGCCCAAACCATTCTATGGTTCTATGCTCTCCTTAGGTCAATCCTGTGCAAGTGAGCTGCAGTAGATGGCCTTTGGGTGTTAT